ATGTTCTGACGTGCCCACCAGCAGATCGTCGTCTTTTACGGCTCTAAAATTCACTTTCGCTTTTCTCTTTGTAATTGAATTAAAGAATTTAAATATATTAAAAAATTGCAATTGATATTTTGGTGTTGTGATTTATTCAGTTTCGTGAGGAAGCCACATTAGGGACTTAAAGATTTGCAAAATCTACGACTGCAACGTCAACTGGAAGTGTAAATAACTTGACTTTACGGTTCAGACGTCTTCAAAGTCTGTCTTTCTTGTGGATGAGTTGACTTTACTGACAATGTTTGAAATGAAATCTCCAATGAACAGAACCCTAAAGAGAAGTTATTTACACTTCCAGTTGACGTCGCCGTCGTAGATTTTGCAAATCTTAAAGTCCCCTATTATCAGTAACGCAACTGCTTTTGTCTTTTAATTGTCATTGTTTTTCTAACCCTTTTTGACTGGAATCATGGTTCCGAGTAGTGTGGGATACCGTAAATGAAAACACTATTGGAAAAAGAGAAAGAAAAGCCGTGAAAAATGAACTCCAGAGCACTAAGATCATGGTCTCTTGAGGTCTGTATCTTTAAAAAGAGGGGAAACACGAGAGGAGAGAGAAGGGGAGAAAGAGATAATATTAGAAAAAAATAAACGTAAGAAATTATTAATCCGCTTTATAGAATAGTCGGGGGCGAAAAAGAAGGAAAAGAGAAAGGAAATAAGATGAGGAAAAGAAAAGAAAGAGGCCAAGAAAGAAAGAAAGAAAAAATTGAAACAAAATTGAAAGTACAAGAAGGGGAACTTACAAAAAAGACAATGGAAATGTCTTGGGTCATTTTTTTTCTACAAATTTATATTCACAATTAGTCATCTTTCATCTTTAGGCAACCATCATGCTATAAAACATTACAGGCATATATTTATCTAAATTCGGCAATTGAAAAAGGTTTCGCTTTCCGACTGTTTGAACCCGAACTCTGATTTTAAAATCGAAATTAAAAACACCGCGTTAAAAGGAGCCAAAATCATAACGTGGAGTCTTTTAGAGATTCCCTTTGAGGTTCCCCTAAACTACGACCTCTAATCATCTAATATCATTAGCTAAACTGTCGCCAGTAATATTCCACACGAGTAAAGCCTAAATATTTTATTGGGATCAAATGTATGAAGTCCTAATAAAGTATTCAGATGTACACCTAGTGTGTGCTGTTAGATGCTGAAGGGACTTCCCGGTCATATGGGTGCGTTCACAGTGTTGGCGTGATCACAATAAGTCAACATTCAAAATTTCCAAGTAGTACCGAAGAAACGTTTGACTTTATTATCTGCGATGAAAGGAGTATCTACAATTTCATACTTTCTTTTTTCTTTTCTTTTCTTTTCTTTTCTTTTCTTATCCTTAACCTTTGTCATGTTATGTTTTTCATCCATCCATCCATCCATCCATCCATCCATCCATCCATCCATCCATCCATCCATCCATCCATCCATCCATCCATCCATCCATCCATCCATC